GGGGGTTAGCAAAGAAAAGAATTCCGAGATATAAAAAATAATAATACAGGTAACAGTGACATATCTCTCAGCTAGAAGATTCACAATATTATGTAGGTGACACCACGTTTAGATGGGTGGTCACTGGGGTGAGGCCTTGAGCAAGACACAATAACCCTATCCCAAAAACAGGGCCCAGCACAGTGGCAATAGTAATGGCGTGTTGATTGCCATTGACTGTATTAATGTAATATGGTGTATTATTTAACATCGGCAAATTATTGTACTTCTGAAATATACTTGTATACATTTGTGTTTATATAGTCAAACCTCGTTGTAAACCCCCCTCCCGGCCGCCCCGTTATATTGTTAGCGCCGCTTACCACCACGTTTTGCCAATATACAAAAGGAACGCCTATATAAACATAGCCTTTACACTGCCATCTGCCAACTGCCTGAGTAGAACAATGGCCCTTTATCAAACTAATGTAAATTTGCCATGCTATACCGCAGGGAGCGTTCAGGGAAAAAGGAGCAGTGGCAGACCGAAGAGGAGTTGGGAGGACAACATCAAGGAATGGACAGGCCTGGAACCCAAAGACACGCTCAGAAAAGCTGAAGACCGGAAGGAGTGGAGGAAGCTGGTGGCCAAATCTTCAAAAGCGCCCTGACCGACATCCAGTCTATGGGATAGGTGAAGGTGAAGGTGATACTGCCAGTGAATTGACAGCTACAGGTACACACTACACACGGCACCCACTAGGTGGATGCTTGATAGTCTCTTTCCCACACACTTCTATGTGAGCTCAGCCTATTTTAGCACTTGTCTGCAATTTTCTCCTGAAGTGTATTGATCATGAAAGTGCTATTATTTTCAGACTTCTGCCAATACTTATATAAAGATTGGAATTAAATTTCAAAGTTGCCTGGAGAAACTTCAAAGCAACTGCACCACCTCTGCCTACTGGCAAAATATCTACAATTGCCAGATGTCAGCACGATGAACAAGAGGGTGGCAGGTGCCCATTAGGCTTTAATATAGTGGGGACTCATTCTCAAATCCACATATGACACGTATACGGCAACCCAAGGACTAACGAGTATCAGGAAAAAAAAACAACGTCCGTCTACAGGGTCCTTGACTCATGTAGCCTGACTTGTTTCAGTTTGAAATTACGTAAAGTACAACTGGAGCTGTACAAGTCATTGGTTGCTACTTGTATTTCCCCGGCGCACAGCAATCACACAAGACAGATCTAGATGAGGCAAGACTGGCCGCAGTTTGTCTCACCACTAGTCAAGATGGCAATAGGTGCCATCTCGTTAAACTGTCAGCCCCCGCTGTAACACCAACTTGATACTCGTCCAAAGGTAGGCGGTATAAAGGCATTTGACTGTATGAATGTATACCAATACAATCAAAATTCCCCAACAGGTACCGTAACAATTAAAGAGGAATTTTATTACATTCCAATTTCATTTCATCTTCATCAAGAGGAGGAGAAGGATTGTATTCCGTAAAAAAGACAGGACACCTGTAATTTCCCAGATAGACACCATCTGGGTTAAGCATGGGCACGATCTTGAAAACCAGATGCTCTCTCAGGATTTTGGCGATGGGATGGCTGCTTACGAGGAAATCAATCACACCTGGAATGACAAAAAGCAAACTGTAAATAATCATCTCCTTGTTCTGCTGCAGGTGTCTCAGCATCTGCTTCTTCGCTAAAGATTTGACTCAACAAACGGGATAAAATGCAAACAAAACAGAAGTAAGTGATGCAGCCAGTGTTTCAAAAAGAGTGACTGAGGCACACTGTATGTATGAAATGGTTAAAAAGGGTTTTTTTTAAAAAGAAAAATCCCCTTGAAATTGAATAAACCTAATGAGGTAGAAGCCACTAGTTTTCAAAGCATGAAGCAGCAGAGATGCACTTTAACCACCACCTGGACAGAATGACAAACTGTTTAATATTATAGAAAAACTAAACATTTAAGGAACGTCATAGAAACTGGGATTATGTCCGAGACATGTGCTTTGAAACGTAATTAAGTAATTACAGCTTCAATAATAGGAAAAAAATTCATCAAAGACACCTTGGCAATACTGCAAATTTCATCAAGGACATCAAAAGATTTATCCAAAAACAAAAATAGAAAGTTTTCTGTAATCTACGACCTTTAAAACTTTGGCACAAAGGGAGAAATAATATTTTCTTCAACTTGTTGGGTGAATAATATGTTCAAGGATTTCAATGTCAGAGGAATTTACAGGTAAAAAATTTCAATAAAAGCTCAAAATTAGGACTAAAATTGTGATAGAATATTAGAGCAATTTTCATATCGTCAGCTTAAAAATGTTACAGCTGCGTTCAATTTTAAACTATTATCTTTAATATTCTCCTGAGAGTACAATGCAATCTGTACCAGGTGCTTCTTTCTCATTTTCAGGTTGAAAAGGTAATCACTGGAAAGTTGATCAGATTTTAAACTCCACCGCTGTATGTCACAATATGATGTGCCGGTTACATGGGTGCGTTCATCTTATTATTTTCTTTTTCAAAGAAAAAGCAGCGAGATGAATTATCATCATATTGAACTGGATATACCATAAAGTTGCATTGAAACCCTGTAAGGTATTCGCTCTTGTGATTCTTGTTGGGAGCTTCTAAGTACAGTCAAACCTGTCCACAACGTTCACTCAAGACCACAGAGAAAAAGTAGCAATATAGATAAGTGACGGCTGTGGGTTTGATTATGGTCACTTTCCCATATACATTCATGAACAACTGCTGAATTATTGGACACAGCTGACATCATAATTATTTCTAAACTGAGCTTGCAAAAATGTGGGACTTTGGTATGGGAACTTTGTACATATGGACAAAATTTGGACTTAATTTTTTTGTAGAGCAAATATTCTAAGCATATTTTTCTACCTTCTTTTAAAGGCTTTAATCCATTTTAAAAAAACAAAAAAAACTCTCCAAACTTTTCATTAGGAGTATTCAGTTCTTCTGAAGATGTTGAAAACCTGAATATTCTTCTGTCAATGAGATTTTTCAACTTTGCTTTGTCGAGACAGAAGACAGACAAAGTGTGCCCTGACCTTGACACACAAATGATGACGGCGTTTCTCCGGGGTGGACCCTGGCTGTGATGAGGACTGTCTTCAGCTTTTCGTTATCAGAAGCTTGCAGGTCTGGACTAGCGATTGTCAGAAGATCAAGCCGACGTTGTTGCTGAAAGACAGTAATAAATTATTAATTTAAACATTCTCTAGGGGCTCTCATGGCCTAGATGTTAAGGTGTTGGCCTCTCATTCAAAGGTTCCAGGTTCGAATCCAGGTAGCAACCGAAAAATTTTTTCTCTAAAATTGTCTCCTTTTACCTCCTTTCCTGCTCTCTAGCTATGTTCTGTCGTCTGTTTTGGTCTCCTCTTTCTGCCCCCACTCCCTCATCTCCTTTGCCCCCTCCTCTGGGCTCCTGGCTCTTCCTCCAGCCTTTCTACTGCTACTCCTTGGTTCCTTCTTACTATACTGTTGTCTTTCAGCCACACCCCTGATCTGGTAGGAAAGATCCTTCTAGGACAAAGGCGAAAAATCTTGGAGGGCCCGTGTGCAAGTTGCGCACGTTAAAGATCCCTTGGTTCCTTCTTACTATACTGTTGTCTTTCAGCCACACCCCTGATCTGGTAGGAAAGATCCTTCTAGGACAAGGGCGAAAAATCTTGGAGGGCCCGTGTGCAAGTTGCGCACGTTAAAGATCCCTTGGTGGTCTAAAATCGATAAGAATAGGTTTTAGCCGCCATCCGGGTAAATTTCAGAATTTCCTACCAACTGAAAAAGTTTAATGTGCCCAGCGCGCTCATATGACCTTATGCAGTTGCGAGCGCGGTCAAACACTTACCAACAAAAAAACAACAACATTCTCTTAGAAAGTTTTTGTGATAAACAAGTATTTGCACCTGGCTCAAGAAAAGGAATGCCATGATATAAATGTCACATTTACAAACCATAGAGTACTGGCACACCACTTTTGTCTAAATAAGTGAATTCCTACACTCCATCTTTCTCAGGAAAGTAAGCACAGAAGTAAGAAGTGCGCCCCCAATTATGTCTTTTTTCTTGTCTATCTCAGTTACTTCACTTCTCATACTTCCACTAAACCCTGCATGATGATAACTTTGCAAGTGAGCTACTCTTCCAACTAAAAACCCTTCTTACACCTCATACACTTCCTAGGGAAAGACAAACAAACAAAAATATTCTTTTTACCTGGTCACTCTCCTCGATAATACAAAAAGCATTCTTAACTCATCACAACCAGTAAAATTTGAGCAGTAACAATTTTGTCTTCTGAGACTAGGCAGGAAATCAATGTGTAAATGTAAGAGAAGTAAAAAGCAAGAAAACAAGGCAAAAAGGGAACTTTTGGAGGAAAGTTTTGTCCTTTTTCTTAGCCGTTATCTCTGGATCACATACAAAACACATTTAGCAGCCAGATATCTATTTAGCAGTAAAGTAACACTCAACACATTTGTGAGGCAGCGTGGTGAAATCAGGCTCTCGTCAATTTTGGGGCATATGGAGTTACTTGTATCATCTTAAAGCTTGTCCATTTGCCTTGCTTTGGACGAAAACAATATCTATTTATCTTGGATACAAGTCAAGATATTGGTAATTGAAGGAGGAGAGGTGGGCTTGTTTCAGAGGTAAAATAAGCGAGAAAATGGCCGCCAAAGCTGAGTCATTTCCTAAGCTTGAGAGCCCATGGAAACTGAAAATTTACATCTCTTACGCCTTAAATCAACTGTTTTCAGGACAATCCATACAGAAAAGTGTTCTTCAAAGGGCGTGAAAGGTGTTGAGCCAAAAAACAAAAATTCTATAAAAATTCCCAAACCTGTGGAAAAAAGCTAGTTTCTTCACTTTGCCTATTTTGACGAGCGCCTGATTTCACCACGCTGCCTCACATTTAAATAAGAATTTATTACAAAATTATATTTCATTGCATACATAAGTGAATAGTATAACGAAAACTTTTAATCATCATTTTCATTCCCGTTATTCACCCATCTTAAAGAAAGAAATAAAATTCAAACTCACCACTGTTAAACACAAGAGCTCTCGTGTGAAAAAATCGTAGTTCCTTTTCTCCAGGTTATCCAAGTAGTTTTGGAGTCTTGTGTAGGAGTACGGATAACAGTAAGCAAACTGGTACACTTCATCCTCTCGGTCAAATATAAATGCAAAAGACATCACATAGTTTTTGCGATGATCAGGGCATCGGTAGTAGTACACATATTTCCCTGGAATCCTCACCCTGAAATAAAAATAAAGCACAAGGGTAAAAATCGTCCACAGCACCCTGACACAACAATATTAAACTAAGGATATTTAGGATATTTTCTTTCTATCCAGTATTAAAATCAGAATCATCTCAGATCTATACTGGTGTTGCTAGCAACTATGTGTTTGATCATGGTTCGAATCCAAAACAAGATGCTCTTGAACTGGAGATGGACATTAGGTCAAAGTGGGTCTCCTTGTAAATAATGTTATAGTGTTGAAGGAGACGTTAAACCATACCGTTCCAACCTAATACTACGCACATCAGTTCAAAGTCAACTTTTTACCACTTCCTAGCAGTTTAAATACAATTTTAATGTCTTTTCCAGGGAAAAAATAAATAACAAAATAGCCCAACATTATACCACTTATCAAAAAGTAACAAATATCCAAATTCAAATATCCTTTGATGCACTTCTAGACTTCAAGAAATGCTGAGCTCAATAGACCTCTATATCTGACAGATTAAACATTGAATATCCTTCAAAAGGTTGTTATGATGTAGCTATTTCATCAAAGATGTACACACTACTCTTTGGTGTTTGGAAAACCTTAACCTTGAATTCTGGTGTATGAAAAGCACTTAAGTCGTCAAAAATGTGAAGTAATTCTTCTTAAGGAACCTAATTTTTTTGCAAACTTCATAACATTGTAAGCAATGAACAATTAGAACACACCTACAAATGTAACTGTAAAATTTTAAGCCCAGATCAACTCTATTTAGATCATTTAGGGGTAGGGCTGCTTTGATCTGTCTGTCAGTGCCACCCAGTGTGAAGGAGGATACAACATCCCAGGAGAAAAAAAAGGAGATGCTTGTTAAAAATGTTCCCCACATGGGAATTGAACTTGCATCTCTTGCGTGTAATGGCACAGTGCTTAACTGTTACACCAAAGACGTCATTGATTGACTAATATTTTTTTACAGCAAGGAAAATATAACAATGATGAACAAATAAAAGGTAAAAGAAAAAGCAACCTACCATTTTGGTCGACTGGTAGACTTGATCATAGGCGTCATGCCATCTCGATACAATGATTTCGTTTTACTGAAGTTCACAATGTTGAATATAACACGCTGTTGAGAAAACACATACCACAAAGAAAATCAGATACATTGTAGTTTAAAGGGTAGAATCTTGCTGCCTTCTTCTTATGTGTGTGTGTGTGTGTGTGTGTGTGTGTGTGTGTGTGTGTGTGTGTGTGTGTGTGTGTGTGTGTGTGAGTGTGTTTGTGTGTGTGTGTGTATGTGTGTGTGTGTGTGTGTGTGAGTGTGTGTGTGAGTGTGTGTGTGAGTGTGTGTGTGTGTGTATGTGTGTGTGTGTGGGGGGGGGGGGGGTGTGCTGTTGTTTCTTTCCCCTTTAAGTTCTACTTCTAGATCTCATTCTGATTCTTATCCAAAGTGCAACTCATTATTACAGATGCAGCCTATTTTCTCTTTAGGAAGTAGTGGCTTCAATCGTTTTGACCATAATTAAAAATGTATAGAAGCATGAATATCGGATTCACAAACACTTTCTTATTCAGACAGAAACTATAGCAAAAGAGAGTTTGTGTACAATAAGAAACTCAACAAAGAATTGAAAACAGCAATGTGATACACTTGACCCCTCACCTGATCTTCTCTACAGGCTCATATCGATAACTTTCATTAATTTAACATCTCCAGAAACAACCAAACCTGCTTGGAAGCAAGCATAAATTTTTAAGCAAACAGAAAACGAAATACCTGATCTGCTTTGACATTTTCCACAGTGAAGTTGAACCAAACTCTGAACCGAGGGTTGCACGTGTCAGGTCGGATGAACAAATCATACTCTGTCTCTGTGATGTAGTCCACACGACCAAGGTTACCTGAACAGAAAGTATAACTAAAATCAAAACTGTTCCTGTTTTAAGAGTCAAAACATTTCCCTGTCACATAAAAGGTTATAAATCCTATTAGATTGTTTGTTTGTGAGCTTCAAGTCTTCATGTTAACATTTCACAAGGGAAATGGAAAGCCTGAGGCTTCAGATTCAGGTCAAAGTCCATATTTGCTAACAACTGACTGACATCACACTAAAATCTGACACAGAGACTCTATACACACAGAACATATGTTATGGTTGAAGATGTGATTCTTTGTAGTCTTATATCCCCATCAAAGTTAATCCATTGCGACTTTCCTAGTCGTGGCTACTCACCCTAAGGAAAGCTCACATGAGTTCAGAAGCCTTGTCTGCGCCCTGATCCAAAACTCATACAACTTCACAAAAACTGCTTTCAACAGATGCTTTTATTCTTCATTCTCAGACCATCAATGTAAGCTTAAAGGTCCTACTACTTTTTTTCACATGAATGTGCAAATGCTTAAGACAGCATTCACTGTGAGCATGCTGAAAGCGGAGTATAATACCCCTTGCTGGTTCGCGTCCACAAGATAAAGAATATCTCATCTAAGACAGAACACTTGGTCCCATGTCAGTACATGGGGCAAAGGAAAAATGCACTTGAAAAGTTAACAAAACATTTGGATAATAAGCTAGGTAATACCTTAAACTTTATCAAGTTGGTCAAGGAAATTAACATTCAAAAGCAAAAAGCTTATCCTGTCTGACATTCCCAACGGCAATACTGAACTTTAAAAATCTGCACCATGTTTTCTTGACTAGACATTGTGAGTTTTATGTCATATCAGAGGGACAGGATCTGTTTGAGGAGCAAATTCATGAGCAGAAATACTTTAAAGAGAGCTACTTCTTTCATTCGCCATCATTTCAACTACAGAGCGTAAGACTCCGATATACGCCACTTTTCCAAATGGTGTATGGCGGATTCTTACACAAAGCAGGTTATTATTCTAGAATGACTCTCTCTAAGAAACAAACAGCCACAGTAATAGTGGGAACATGATAAGTGCTTACCACTCTCAAAGCAAGCATCAAAGATCAGGTGGCCTTTCTTTGGTTTGCCACTGTAGTTTGGTGGCACCACAGCAAACTTGTTGACATTTCCTACCACTGGCTCCTCTGTGCTGTCTGAGTCACTGCCTGAAATAAAAAGGTCAAAACAATACTGATTAAGAGGAATCAGTTTTCCCTTTAACTTCATTACTGCAACCGACGCGTAAAGTGTGCCATGATTTCAGTGCAGAGACTTCAGTTCGATGTTTGGATATGTCGCATGTCTCAAATGGACAGCTTCTTTTTTAGTTTTTTTTTAGGTTTTACGGCGCTCGCAACTGCATAAGGTCATATGAACGCCAGAAGATTAGAGCTGTTACAAGAGAGTAACAGACATAAAAAGATGAAGGGGAGATAAGGACGATAGATGTTTGATAGGAAAGAAGAAGCAAACCACACCAGAGCACCCGCCAACCACCCACATGGACAGCTTCACTGAAGCAAGTTGCTCTGGATGGGGAAGAGGTTGATGAACTAACACCTTTGAAAAACTATGAATGGTTTCTTTTTACTAACTCATGACAAAATGTTGATTTGATTATGCAACTGCCATTGACTTTTTCTATCTTTCTACCTGATGACAGTGTCAGAACATTGTCTTATAACAAATGTATTATCAGCGTGGATGATAAAAAGTTGGTCTGTCATCCCACTCTGAATCCATTGTCAATAGAACAATCAGACATTGAACTTGGAACATATCAAACTCTTCTGAAATTTGGAATGCTGAAAATATGTCCTCTACAAGACTCTTCATGCCTTTCCAAGAGAAACTTAAGAAATTTTGGATTGATAAAATTTTTTATAATGAATATATGACAAACAAAAGTACACACAAGGAGATCATCAAAACTCGAGTATAGTACCTCCCTCATCTTTTTAATGTTAGAAAATGTTCCCAGAATTTAGATTTCATCATTTAACTTATTCTGTCATCATCAAACCTTAGGGGCCTATTTATACATTGAAAAACACTTAGAAAGCAAACCAAGTTTTCCAAAGCACAATAAAACCTGCCTGCAGAAAATAGACCTAAAATAACTTTGCTGACCTCAAATGAAATTTAACATGCAACGGTGAGCAAGTACCCTCAGAGAAAAGAGACAAATGAGTTAGGAGCACCCAGGTGCAGACTGACAAATATGCTCATTTGCATTAACACCGTTCAAAATATACAGATAATCTAGCTGGACTGAATGTCTATCCCATCTCTAATTCATGGCAAATTCACGCTCTGATGACATCATCTTTTATTTTTAAGCTCATTAATCAACTCACTCCTCATCCTTTATACTTAAAAATCAAACAAAAAATTGAGAAACTCCACAGCAAAGAGGATGATCTAAAGAACTGACCATGACACCAGTAAATAAGCCATGCTATTTTATTAAACTAACTTCAGTAAAATCTACTCTGAAAGATTAAATCAAGTACATAATTCAGCTAATAATTCTTTAGTTTCTTGCTCTTTTCACTTTTCACTTTGAGAGCTTCCTTGTGATAAGGCAGCTCAATGTTAATGTAATTAAATAGACTGCAGTGCAAAAGGTGGGGGCTGGGGTGGGGTGGGGTGGGGGGGGGGTGCAAGCATAATGCAATAAGTTAAAACTATTTAATTCAATCTAATGGATAGAGAGGTTTGACAAAAAGGATAGACAGACAGGTCATACTCGGCAGACTTCATCGTTGCTAAAGGTTATGGGTGGCGGCATTAATTACTGTTGGTAATGTCTAATGCAAGGTGACTTTGTTGCTAGAAAAAGAAAAGTGCTTCAACTAAATCTGAGAAAAGACTGATAATTTGCCCCCCCCCCCCCCCCATTTAACATTTAAAAAAACAGCGCAACTTATCGAAAAGTGCACAGCACAACTTGGTGTCAATTAAAATTACATTTCTTTTTGTGGAGATCAACAAAATCGTATCGTATCTTATCTTATCTTACAACAGCATATCACATTTTACTGAAATTATGTATAACAAGGAAAAGACAATTTTGTCATTGTGATTTTCAATAACCTATGCTCTACTGTAAAAAACATGCAACTGTACTGTCACCAGCATACAGCTCACTTGCTGAGAAAATGCCAGTTGTTTGTAAATTTAAAAAATTGACCTCTCAATCCTACAACCCCACTTTCATCTTTCTCATAATCAATTATATGGCCTCTTGCAAAGCCATAGCAGGCTTGCCAATTTTTTCAAACCCCAATCAGGTACACCATAATTATATCTTCAGATCACGTACCAATGGTCAAAACTACATCAATTGGGTCTGGGTTTGTGCAATAATGTATATGATAAGGCTCTCAAATTCCTCATTGCCAAATGCAAGCCAGTCCCTAGAAATTCCATACACTTGGCAAGCTTGCATAAAGTTCTCAATTTTCTTCAAGAAAACCCTAAGACACACCATGTCTATTTATATCCCTGCAGTAAGACCAATACAAAATGTGCAAAACAGTAATGTGATCAAAGCATTTATCTTTGGCCTACAACCAGGTTAGAGAAAATCATAGTTGTTCCCTTCTTCTCTAAAAAAAATGTCTCCAGGCTTAGATGGTTTGTGCTTAAGAACATCAAATTAGTGAATCTTGGTCAATCAACACTTTAGAAGGTGTGCAAGTTTTACCCTTACAGGCCTCAATCTCTGTCTAGTCGTCATACTGTTTTCTAACAACTTTTACAGAAATAAGAGGTGTTTTTTCATATCAAGCCTTTCCCATCATCCTTTCACATAGCTTTAATAAAAACACTCGCTACAAAAAGGAACTTAAGTTCAAGGTGCATTTTTTGAAATGTTGTGATGAAAAAGTAATATACTATACTAACATCAATTCTATACTCTAATATCAACATAATGGTTATGGTGTTTGCTAAAAGAAATAAAAGAGTATCTCAGACAAAGCAGCATAAAAATACACTACTTGAACAGTTACGTTAAAGAAAGAATAGACATGCAACTGCTTGCTAGATGAGCAGTAATAATAAGCACAAACACACTGATAACATCCATGAAAGAAAAGAGAAAGCCTGACAATCATACTGAAATTCTGTATTGATAAAAACTGACTACAACATATAGAAAGGATTAACATTTTTTTAAAATACCTCTTCTTTTACTGACCTCTGTATCTGTGATGCAAGTGCCTCAGAGAATACACATCAGTGCCTTCAGACACGTTCAGTTCTAGCTCATTTATGTACAAGTACTTTACAAAATCGAGTAAGAACCAGTGCTATTCAGCATGAACAAGTTCACAATTGAAGCATTCAAACAAATGGGGGTTTACTTAAAATAAGACACACAGATACGCAGCATGAAGGAAAAATCAATAAAAAGGGAAAACACTACTAACTTTCTAAAAATCAAATGGTGACTGGAGAAGACATACAATCAATAGAATTCTAGATGAGAGGCCGCAATTTTTATTATGTTATTCACAAATCAGCTGTAGGAACTTTTTAAACAAACGGACCCCTACAAAATGATTATACAGTCTCCATTATCAGCTGTCAAACAACACTTGTGAAAATCCTACCAATAAAACACTTGTCTTTACACTGAACGTATCTTCTGCATGATCCATTCACTTAATGTATTTCACACACATTTTCCAGTTCTTTTTGTTTTCTTTGGAGAACACACTTGAACGCACAATTATGAATAGCTGTGCAGTACTGAGGAATGGTCACTATCATGCATCTGCCATATAGCCTAGTTTTAAATTCTAGTCAACAAAGCTGTTGACAGAGGTAGCATAAAAGACCATTGTTGTTGTTTCTTTTTCGTTGCTTTTTTTTTTTCTTAACAGTTTCAAATCAGAACCATCAGGAATAAGAGACAAATTAATTAAGATTTTTTAAGAACATGAATACAATAAATGAATTTGAAAAATCGCTACAGAGTGGTGGAAAAAAAGAGGTAAAGAAGCTAAAAGGAAGATAGAGAACAACCAACATATGCACAGATGCCTAGAACATTTTAGAGACAAACAATAATACTAATTCGAAAAACAGAGCTAATCAGGACTGACAAACAGGAAAGAATGGGGTACCATGATTGTCAATGTCTGCTGCTGACCCAACACCTGAAGAAAAAGAGGAATACCACAACAGTACTCTTACAAATTGTTCTTGGAAAGTGCAAATTTATATTTTTTGAGCCTTTGATCAATGTTTTTCAGTAAAATCCTGATCCATGCAGAAATGTGTTTTTAAAAGGATAAAGAATTTACTACAAGGTAAGTTATTATGTCGGTAGATCACAATTTATCCTAGGAGTGAAATTGCCAAATTGTAATCACGAGTTTCAACGAATGATTATATCACTTGCAATTTCACAAAGAGGATAAATCATGGTCTACCAACATAAGGAGTGTAATAATGTTTTTATACCATAGGCCTACTGATATCAGCTGACATAATAGATCCGAACCAAAAAAGTTCAAATTACCAGTCAAGTGGATAAGAGGTTCTATTCAAGAGTCTCATTTGAAAACAAAATTTGTCATGTCCGTCAGAGTCAGACTGAGGATCGGAAAAAATCGGTATTTTTCCGTTATTTTTAGCCACACTAATCTACATGTTGAGATATCTGTATGGCTCTGTCCCCGAAATAAACCCCAAACAAAACAATAAGAATGTAAGCTAGCTGCAATGCAAGCAGAAAACGCGCAATTCAAAAGTTCAAAAATTAAAAAACTGCATTTATATGACATGTTGTCTTTTTAGAATAGAGATGACTTTGACTTTGATTTTTATCTTCACAACCAAAACAAAGTAACGGCTGGGAGTCATTTGCTAACATAACCTAGACTTGCGTATTGCACTAAAATACACCACCGCACTCTGACGTAATCCCGGTTCACTGTGCGCACCATTTGACTCAATTTGGAAAAAGATTAAGGGCAGAATAAAAAGTTGTGGGCACCCTCAGCTAGAACTATAGGGGCACTAACTTCTAAGGCACTGGCGTTTGGCATTTCATTTGGGGACCTATAATGAGCGCACTTTGCAATAAGGTTTTTTCAGAGGGCAAAGAGCGGCTGCCCTAACGTATAGGCCTAACATTATTGCAGAGCCTAGGAATATCATGATTCCAGTCTTTTTTTTTTGTAAGTGTTTTACGGCGCATGCAACTGCATAAGGTCATATGAGCACGCAGGACACACCAAACATTTTAAGTTGGTAGGAAATTTTGAATTTTGCCTGGGTGGCGGCCTACTCTTATCGATTTTAGACCACGAAGGGACTTAAACGTGTGCAACTTGCACACGAGACCTCAAAGATTTTTCGCCCTTGTCCGAGAAGGCTAGGTGTAGATCTTTCCTACCAGAAGATCAGGGGTGTAGCTGAAAGACAGCAGTAAGAAGGAGCCAAGGAGTAGCAGTAGAAAGGCTGCAGAAAGAGTCAGGAGCCCAGAGGAGGGGGCAAAGGAGGTGAGGGGGTGGGGGAAGAAAGTGGAGACGAAAGCAGACGACAGAATATTGCAAGAGAGAAGGAAAGAAGGTGAAATGAGACAATTTTAGAGAAGAAAATTTTTCGGTTGCTACCCTGATCCGAACACGGGACCTTTGCAGTGGTTGTGAGTAGTGAAGGGCTCACGGGCTTGAGACCCTCCCCCCCAACTCCATCCCAAAGTAAATGAAAGTTTCTTAAATAATGAAATAAGCATTTGAAACCGTTATGGTTGCACGCAATGAACACAGAGAGATCAACTTGGCGGCTTGCTCATTTATCCAATCATTGTTGTCACCGCTTACAACTATAGCATCCTAACACCCAATCAAATGTCTTTAGGGCTCTGCACAGGATGAGCCCATTCCCACGCCCCTTCCGTAATGAAATTCTTCTTGAAAAAAGGTAGAGGCCTGGAAAAGTACACTGTGCTGAGGGCTCACGCTCTCCTAGCCCTGACAATGGGGTGAAAGTTTACGACACACTTTCCCCCAGTGACACAGATACCTACGCGCTCATTGGACATTAATTTTTAGGTGCGTTCTACTTTCCGCAACTATGTCACACGGCCTAGTTCAGCTCATAGACAGGATATGTTTGAAGTGCTGTGTGTGTAGGTTTGTGTTTGTGCCGCTGAGATTTAACAGTTATAAATCATGTCGATCGACTTTTAAGGTAACTTTTCCAGCCAGAAGAATCTAACTTAAAACAAAGAGACAGAAGACAGAGGTGACTCTTCTCGTTTGAATGGTTCTCAAAATACCGTGGCTCACCAAGAGTAAATAAAAATCAGTACTGTTTAAGGCTTACTGCTTGCTATTAATTTGGTGGTAAAGTAGAAGTGTCAGCAACCTAAGCCCCACCCAAATTATGGTCCATCCACTATCACTGGACCTTTGAATGAGAGGCGAACACCCCTCTAAGCCACGAGAGTCCCCCGATTCGAGTCAATAGATACCATGCTTACAGTAGGTTTATAGGCGAATATAGAGTGCGCGGAGTAATTTCTGAAAATTGATATATTTCACATGTGAGATATCATCTTTTATATTTCACGTGTGAAAAGAATTTATTTCACCGGAAGTGCAATGCTTAAACAACTCCATGTATGATATAAATAAATATATATGCTACCTCTTACAGAGACCAATAATGCCTCTAAGACTAATTCCGATAATCAGAACATTCTTTTTTATGTGCATGAGGCAGGGACAGGGGAGGCCACAAAATAAAACAAATTATAACATAACCAATGAAGCATAGATTCTATTTGCTGTGGCTTTAAAAAAAAGACCGGCTCTATTTCTCCGAACGTTCGGGAAAATAAACTTGAACTTCATTTCTCTGAACGGTTTCCGTTCTCGAGATTTGTTGATAATAAGCGAATATAGTGGCACGTGTGTGTATGTGTGTGTGTGTGTGTGTGAGTGTGCGTGTGAGTGTGCATGTGTGTGTGTGTGTGTCTGTGTGCGTGTGTGTGTGTGCGTGTGTGTGTCAGTGTGTGTGTAAGGTGTGAACATGGGGGGGCGTGGAGGGATTTTTTTTTTACATGAAGGATTTTGTTTTTTTCTGGGTGACTAAGAGCAAAATAGGTTATTGCCAAGGTCGAGCAGTCTTGTTCTCTCGCAGTACCTTTTGAAAGTATTTTCAAATGAAGTATAGTCCGGGAATGTTGCCCCATTCATAACTGAAGTATCTGAATATTCAGACATTTAAAAATCTCTAGATCTAGAAATTGAATTTGATGCAAAAAAATGCTTCCTCCCAGTCCTCGCAGAATGGCAGAATGAAAGGATGACGCCTAAATCTCGCAAATAACCAAAAAATCTCGAGATCAGAAACTGTTCGGAGAAATGGTTCAACTTTATTTTCCCGAGCGTTCGGAGAAATAGTCACTTCGTAAAAAAAGTACATTGCAGTTAAAACTCACTTGAAAACCTACTCAGAAATCGCAACTCAATCACATTTCATATGACGAGCAACAGAAATGACCAATCAGTCAGAAAATTTGGACTTTGATTACATTTGGTGATTTCTTTGTAACTGAAGGAAGGCGATACAGTAGGCCTATAGATTAGAATGGAGGTAATCATTTACTTTCTCGAGTTTAATTACGGGAAGGACTTCCATAACGAGCGACCAATCTGAACTCAATCACGAAATATTCCACTCAATGGCCATAAAATAACCAGTACGGACAGAAGGCCTCAGCCGGTGTATGTTAAGTAGATTTATACCTACAAATGATGAAATTGCCGCGGTTAACGTATTCTTAACTTCAGTGCAAAGTTTTGAATCTGTGGGAGATGCATAGAGTTTCGTCTAGATCTAGATCTAGATCTAAGTGCGTCCGGAATTAAACGCGAGAAAGTAAACAATTGCCGAATGGATTTTAGAAGTGAAAGTTGCTTTCATTCTCAATTTGTCTTGAGCGTAGTCATACTACTTTCAGCGTTAACTTAAGACCAAGTTCAGATAAAATAAAACGGAATGGAGATATCAATTTCAATAAGCACAGTTATAACTGTATGTTAAGAAAAGAATATGCCAATCGTTTCAACAGATTTCAGAATACTAACCAGAATCTGCTCTTTTGTCGGCCATCTTTCGCTATAGACGCTCTCGCTTCGCTACGGAAAGACAGCGCGGGAAGGGGAACAACTCAAAACGTTTTTAGTTGCATGGAAACGGTTAATTATTAGTTTCGCAGCGTTCGTCTTCGCAAATAATAATTATTATGCATCTTTGCGTTGTATGCAACAGAACCAGTGCAATCAAAGACAGTCGGGATTCTGGTATGATAAAATGTTCTTCTCATCAGTAGTAGTAGTAGTAGTAGTAGTAGTAGTAGTAGTAGTAGTAGTAGTAGTAG